TTAGCTAAACAAGGGGCAGAAAGGGATTCACTGTTTTGGGCTAAGCTGTAACTTTAGTGTCGTCTTTTTTTCTTCTTTTTTTCCTTTTATGAGGCTCTTTGTGGCTCTTGGAAGATAAGTGTGTTTGTCTTCCTCCTGTAAATTTTCTACTGATGATTTAATGAAAGTGTTATTGATCAAAAAAACAAAAAAAAGAGAAAAGCTATTGTCATTTCAACAAGGAAATAAGATTTGAAGTGAGAAAAGGAACCAAGGTCAAATTTTGGAAGGATTGCTGGTGTCGAGGTAGTTTTTTGAAAGATGATTTCCCAGAGCTGTTTGCAGTAGCAGCGGATAAGGAAGCAAAGGTGGCAGACTATCTGCAATTTTCCAGTGGAAGTTGTGTTTGGAACCCCCTTTTCAGAAGAGCTTTAAATGACTCAGAAATTGAACCATTTGCTCGTTTGCTGCAAAAGCTTTATAATTCTAATATTGATCCTAACAGAGATGACAGAAGAGTGTGGCTGGGTGGGAAGGATAAGCAGTTCTCTGTCAAATCCTTTTATAACAAGCTGACCAGGGAAGAAGATCAGGAGTTTCCTATGAGACTAATCTGGTGCAAATATATTCCCTCAAAAATTACTATTTTCGTTTGGTCAGTTTATTCAAATAAGATCCTGACTAAGGATCTTCTTGTGAAGAGAGGTTTGGGAGTTGATTCTTCACTTTGTGTCCTTTGTAATAGAGTGGAGGAGACATTTGATCACCTGTTATTACATTGTAAATTCTCTTATAGCATTTGGGTAAAAGTATACAGTTTGTCTGCTCACAAGGGTTGCTGTCTGGCATCAGTGGAGAGTTTTTTGAAAGAGTGGCATTTACAAGGTCTGAACATAAGAGGAAAGGTTATTTGGCAAATGATCTGTGGAGTTGTATGGTGGTCTTTATGGCAGGAGAGAACCTCCAGAATTTTTCAGAACAAAGGCAGTCAAGAGGAGGATGTTTGGCAAAAAAAATTGTGGGCAAACTGCTTTCTTGGTGGTCAGCTCAGTTTAAACTTGAAACAGTTCAGAGTTTGGTTCCTTTTTATTTTGTAAATCTAATGCTGATGGGTTAGTGGCTTAGTTTTTGTATGACTCTCCCTGTTATAGCCTCTAGTTGTACAGGGTTTTTCTTTAATGGAATTCATACTTTACCTCTTCTCAAAAAAAAAAAAAGTAGGAGATTACCAAGTGGAAAGTGCTTTTATCAGAAATACAGTTTGGGAAGATGATATACTACTAGAAGTAAGGTGCTTTAATGAGGCAATAGAAAACACCTTTATGTCAATAGCCTAAACTCTTTGTCCAAGGAGTCAAAGAAAGCTCCACCCAGCTTATCAAAAAAGAATATATAAAATAAAATAAATAAATAAAGCTCCATCCAAAAGATTTGTAAGGTCAATAGCCTCAACAGCTTCCTTACATTTTAGTCCTCTCCTAAAGCCAATGTTCCAAGAGACTCCTGTTGTGTAGAAGCAAATGAAAGAAGAAATAGAACTATCTAAGGAATTTAAATTGCAAATTAACCTTTCCCCACCAAAAATCTTCCCAGAATCTAAATCTAGCCCCTGTAGAAGACTCAGTGCACACAAGAGAGAAAGGCTGATAGAGCTAATAGCTTTCCAAGGAGAGGATCATTGCATCAGGCTGAAGATTTTTATGTTGGCTGCAAACCTGACAAGTGACAACCTCCTCTATCCGGCCTAAGGACTGCCAGTGTCAAAGTTCCCAGCAGTTTTTTATCAATCAATAAAAATCATAGCAGTTTGATGTTTAATTGTATTTTCAAAAGCATTGCATTAAATAGGAACAGAAAATGATCTCTCATTTCAAATAGGACCAATTCAAACTGGTTTGACTGTTAAAGCTTTTCTTAAATGGTAACATAGACATGGGAATGTGACAGAGTAGATAATAATTTTACAACCCAATAAATCTATCCTTTGGGATGGATGGGCTTTGTGAAAGTCTGCATAGGGTCTGGGTGTTCATATTTTCCCCATCTTTTTTTGGTAATCATATTTGCTCTTATGCCCATAAGAAGTTGATACCTATCACAAAATGATCTATATTTCTGGAAATGTTTTTTAATTTTGGTCTGATTTTCTATATGTCTTAATAAAGCCAACATGTTAATGCATGCTCACACATGCAGCAATTGATGTAATGCTTACATGGTCTTTTTCAAAAAACAACTTTTCCCTTGTTCTTTTGGGAGTAAGGCTTTTTAGTTATCATGATTATAAATGCTCTCTCATGTTGATTATCTGTTTCGATTGAAGCCAATATATTTGCTCTACAGGCCATTGAGATATCAAGCAATGAGTATGAGCCTTCAGAGAAAGACATTTTATATGCTGAAGGAGTCACCCAGAGCAATGGTGTAGCCTTCCTTGAATTTACATTGGATGGTCATAGTCCTATGTCAGAGATATACCATGAAAACTTCGAATGTCCTCCTCCACAGACCAGGTAAACCTCTCTCTCTCTCTCCCCCCCCGAAAAACTGATAACCAATCAACCGGTATCATTGTCATAAAATTGTTAACCAATCAGCTGGCATTCATCAAAATTCATGGGGGTTACATATATTGTTCATTTGTTTTGTTTTTGATTTGCCCAACTGCCACAGGTACCAACTAATTCGTGCAAGTTCAAAGGGACTATATGATGGCTGCAAATGGCTGGAGATGTTTGAAGATGTGAGAGCTGTAGTCTTCTGTGTTGCCCTAAGTGACTATGATCAGTTGTGGTCCCATGGCATGGGTCCAATGTACAATAGAATGATAGCAAGTAGAGACCTGTTCGAGAGTGTGGTGAGACACCCTTGCTTTATGGATACCCCCTTTATTCTCCTTCTCAACAAGTATGATGCATTTGAGGAGAAAATCAACCGGGTTTCTTTAACAGTTTGTGAGTGGTTTGGAGACTTCAGCCCAGTGAAGCCCCATCATAACAACCACTCCTTGGCTCATCAGGCATATTTCTATGTGGCAATGAAGTTTAAGGATCTATATGCCTCCATCACCAACCGGAAGTTGTTTGTGTGGCAAACCAGAGCCCGTGAGCATAGCACAGTAGATGAAGCATTCAAATACATTAGAGAGGTTCTTAAGTGGGAAGATGAGAAGGATGATAACTATGGGATTGGTGGTGAAGATTCATTTTACAGTACAGACATTAGCTCCTCACCATATATTAGGCAGGAGTGACGGAGTGAGTTTCATTCTTTTGTTGCGGTAGTGGGCCTAGTTTTCATGCTTACTGCTGTTTTGAGTAAGAAGACATCAATTATCTGAATTGGAGAAATCTCAGAGCCCATCTAGCATTATCTATTCGGATACAATTGATAAAGTCTGAAGCAGGAAACTGATTTGGCTGAAGTGTAACTTGTAAGGATGCTTTTCAGGATGGGGCCGCATTGGCTGGGATTGGCTGTGTATGTGCTCGTGGTCTCAGAGAAAGCCTATGTGAGCCAAGTTTGTTGGTGAGATATTATGTTGCTCTGTATATTCTAAGGTTTATATTCTTTGACTTGAAGCTTGTTTTCTCAAATAAAATTATATTTACTTATGTAGTGAGAGTGCGGCTCTCATTTAAAGGGATACAGTGCTTTACTATGCTTATTTTCCTTCTTTCATCCTATCAAACTTTGAATGGGCATTTTAGTAATTTTACCTACAAGGCAATGAAAAGTGCTGGAATCTCTACCCCCATAGTAAACGATATCAGTTGTAATGAATTATTAAATGAAATTATGATGAAACTTATTCTCCTATCAAATTTATTTCAGTAAAGATATTATTATCCATTGTGACAAGCATGGATTTAGAATTAAATCAAATGAACATAAACAACACTCGTTAATGGTGAACTTGAAGAGATCATTCAAAGTTTTGCTTGTTTTGGTTCAACAACCTCCTGTAGATGGAAATGAAACCAAATTGTGTATACCATTATTGTTACCCAATTAAAGTTGGCCATGCTGTTGCAAGAGCTTTTCTTGTGTATTTTGGCCAAAATCAGCTAGCTCTCGCAGAGTAGCACCACAAATTTTAAAATTGATAACAAATAAGGTGAAATGCAATCTAATACTCTAGATTATATATGTAATAATATGGAATTTTATTTCTTAGTGCTTTTCTTCCATTGTATGAGACCATCTATAAATTATTTTTGCTTACCAAGGACAAATCTTTAACATTTCCAATGTTGTTTGGGCTTTACTTTCGTTATTACAAACTCAGAAATATTCTACACTGAAAATTTCAGTGTCGAGCATGTTGATAGTTTGAACCTTGTTCACACTATTTCCACGGTCTCATTTCTTAGCTTCTCTATTTCTTGGCCCAAACCCTGGGAAGATTCATGAAGAATTGCCATAGTTTCCAATTTATCCTTCATTTCTGCCAGCCCTTCCTTCAGTTTTGAGTGAGAGTTGACAATTTGGCGTTAGCTCCAGTCTGACTAATCAATCCGAGTTGGAACTTGGAAGTTTGCTCGTTCATTGGAGATAGACAACTATGAACTATCAACCCAAACGAGAACCTACATTTGCTCGTACACTGATTTGTTAGTGTAAAAGAAATCATAAACCAATGACATTGAACTAACAGTTTTGGATTGGAACCAAAAAAAGCAACATTTCGGGTTTTCATCCCATAATTTATTTATAATTTCATGCTTTCATCTGTCGATTAAAATATTTTGTGAGTACAGTAAAAATTATCCCTGATGAGATCACAAGTCTTGGCGTGTGCGTGTGTGTGAGAGAGAGAATAGTGGTAGTACACTGGTACCTACAACTTAACCTACTACCTGCCAAACCAGTAGTTTGGGTGAAGCATCCTAGATGTGATAATTAGTTTCAAGATAGCTATGGAACCTTATCACTAACTGCTTAGAATCTTCACATATTTGTTATGGGGTTATATCAGATAAGGTCAACTTTTAGGCACTAATATCAATAAAAGTAATATATTTAATAAAATTTTAAAAATAAATTAACTTTTCTAAAAATAATATCAAAAGGGGCAAAGTTATTGTTCACCATCTTCTTCTTGTAGATTATTCATCAGAACCGCCCGTCGCCGCCACTGCCGCCGGCACGTCTCCGATAGCCGCCTCCGACTGTTGTCTCCGACGATCGAGAAAGCGTCGCTAATAGTCAGACATTGGCAAGTGGTGGAGTTCGAAATCCATGAGTGTCGCAAAAAAGCAGTCCTTGTCTTGGCCATCATCGTTGTCGGTTGTCGACAGATAAGTATTAGTTGTTATGGGGGGATCTGGGCTGCAGGTGTCGACATCCCCTTCGCCGCAGTATAAGCTAGAAACAGAGTGGTTGTCTGGGGATAGCGACATCATCGCCAAGGAGAACCGGTTTGACGACGACATAGTCGTTCTCAAATGGTTTTCCCAAACCACATAAGCCTTGCTTTCTAGATTTGGGGAAACCAGTGGATTTGGACATGGCCGTCGTCTATGGTTCAGGGAGAGTCATGAGTAAAATTTTCTCTCTCACTCCCATTTGAGTAGTGAGATTTTTTTTTTTTAATATAGAGGCGAAGGGGTATGAAGTTAGAGAAAGATTTGAGGAGATGTTTTTGTGACTATAGGCGACAATCAGAGACCCACTTGCCGGTATCCGACTATCAGCGATGCTTTCTCGATCGTCGGAGACGACAGTCGGAGGCGGTGGCGGGTGGCTCTGAGAAGAAGATGAATAGTAACTTTGCCCCTTTTTGATATTATTTTAAAAAAGTTGACTTATTTTTTAAATTTTATTAAATATATTACTTTTATTGATATTAAGGCCCAAAAGTTGCCATTATATGATATAACCCCTTGTTGTTAGGAAGAATGACCGATCAGCCCAAGGTCAAAATTTATAGGCCTAAAAGTACAGTTAGGGTGGATGCCAGCTCAGAATTGATGCCAATTCATAGATATCATTAGTGAAAATCAGAAATCTGCATTGGGCTTGACCGTACTTTTCTGTTGTTATCTCTACAGCTCCGATAATGTAGCAGTCTCTATTTCAGGAAATATTTCTTTCCCCTTGTTTCCTTTTTTTGACTCTCTCAAGAAACGAACAGATGCGTTGGTTACTGGGCTGATTTGATACATTGAATTATGTACTTGTTAATAATGCTCTACTACCACATAGGTCCATTATATCAATCAACCCCTGTTCCCTGTGTATTTGTGAACTACGAAAAAAATAAGAAAATTATAAAAACCTCTCCAGGTTTTTGACAATCTATAAAACTCTCTTTATTAATCCTAACAAAAACCTCCCTTTACCACCATTTTCAGAAAAAAAAAAGAAAGACCTAAACAAAAAAGTGCAAATACCTCCCACCGGGTCTAGGTGGGGTGGGAATATTTTAAGAGCTTATGATGGCAGTGTTTGATTTACTTTCTCAACTACTAGGGTCATGTTTAGTTCAAGTTGAGTTCATAGGCCTCTATGTTGGTCTTAATCTTGGATTTAACCGGGAAAAAAGGTACTGGAATTGAAAGTAATAGCTCATTGCTTGTTGAAACTTGAAACTATGATGGGGAATGCTCACCTTCCGTGGAGCACAAAGTACACGAGAAAAATAACTTTTTAGAAAGTCTGGGTGTGAATGAGAAGAGCTTAATAATCTTTGAGGAAAGAAACTCCTAACCTACTTAGATTTACAAGTTTGATTAGGGAAGATCAGATGCATATTCTCTATCTCCGCATTGGGTTAGGGGCATGACAGGCTAGGTCCTCTCTATAATCTCTTTTCTTCTTTTAATAATTGGTTAATAAAATTTTAAGATGGCCGCCCCACCACTTGAAGGAGAGTTTGGTGGTTAAAAAAACTAATGTATTAATTTTAAAATGCGAGATATACCTTTAACAAACTTTGTTCAAATGTACATTTGGCAAAGCACATCAATGACTTGAAAGCCAATAAAAAACGTTTCAAAGGTTCTGATGAGATCAGCCTCTATTCTGCTCTTATAATGTTTTAATGGTAATGGTAATTAGGGCATTTTGATAACTTCAATGTTTTTGTTACTAGAACTAAGAAAATGGAGGCATTTGCACCTTTTTTCAAAATATTAAAAGGAGGTTGTTAGGATCAAAACAAAGGGGATGATTGTCAAAGAACTTAAGAAGGTTTTTATAATTTTCCCAGTGAAAGAAAGAGGAGGGTGCTTCTTTATCGACCATTCCAACTGTCGAGAAAAAGCTTGACTGGGTTGGATCACGTCCAATTTTTTGACACAAAGGCTCAGTTTGGAAGGAGTATAAAATGCAAATATATAAAGTGCAAAACCTTGCATTTTATATTTTGTATGTATGTATTCATATTCCTTCCAAACTGAGCCAAATTAACAATTTCTTTTTTCTATTAAATGTCCTTCCAATTCACTCAAAAAATTTTCCAATGAGACTGGCACCCGCCTGAGGATTGCAATCAGTTTTGTTGGTGGTGCTGAGCTCCCAATCAATGGGTTGCAATTCCCTGCTTGGGTCTGTCCCATTGGCTACAAGGTCAAAACCCTGGAGTGTATATTGTGGATAACTACTCAAATAAAGCCCTTTTTTTAAACCAATTTCTTCCTTTCTTCCTTAATTTAAAAGACAAGCAAAATCTACATACACCCAACACTCCAAGCGTGGGACAACAAAGACATTACACACCACCACCATCACCATTATTGTTTTCATTGATGTTGTGGTAGCTTGCATCATCATCATCATTGTTGCAAAAGTTGCAGTCATCACAAGCGGTAGCTAAGATGTTTACACCCACATCTGCTTTGTTTTCTCCATCCTCTCCAACAACCCTGCAATCTCGGTTTGCATTCTGACCTTCATCTTGTAGTAGTCGCAATGGGAGTCCTCCAACAGCTTGAGCTCCTCGAGTTTCTTCCTCCGTTTCTCCTCTGTCTCCTTCAAACACAGTTTGGAAAGCTTGTTCCTGTGTTCTTCCTCCAACTTTTCAGTCTTTGCCCGCACAATCCTCCGATACTCTTCTGCCTCTCTACGTGCATCATCTGCCTTGTTCTGGAACATCCTCGCTTCCATTTCCTTAATCCGCACAATGCTTTCCAAGCTGTCAAACCCATCCTTTGTCGGTATCCCAGACCGTAATTCATCTTCAACAGTCGGTTCTCTCATGATGGCAGATTTAAGGCCATTACAATGAATATCGGGTGGCTGTACATCTTGTCCTAGAATGGAGGAACCATTCTTGTAAGCCATAGGCTTTGCAGGGGTTGAAGTAGGTCGAAGAGAGATGACATCTCCATTTTGACGCAATTGGGCTGCCATCTGGTCTTTGGATGAGCTTCCAGACCCAGGAATTTCTGATAAGCCATCTGTATTTCATATACAAATTACAAAGATTGTCAATGGAAGTGGAAGATTTATGTAATATCAAATTTTTTTTTTTGAGAAAAATATCAGTCGAAGTAATAAAGTTGAGTGTCAAGTGTCAACTGTCAACTGACTGGTGCTCCAACTTCATGAAGGATGAAGAGGCCACTTCCAATCGTCTGTTCCTTGTATTCCCTATTGGCTTAATCATAACCTTTTTGACACAAAACAGAGAGACCTAAAAATATAGCTAAGAAGAACACAACAAAACAAACATTTCTAAAATACAGGCGGTCCAGGCGGTCAAGACCAAATTTATTACCACAAACAAATACAGATCATATTCAGACTAAGCACAAATCCAGAAACCCTCCAAAATCCAAATAGACCTTTAGGATTTCAAGAGCATCTTTAAGTATATACACACCAACTCATTAGGGTTTACCAATTTTAACAAATCATGGAGAGTAAGAGTATTCAGGCCACGTTTGGGAGTGATTCTCTAATGGACTCTTTGTGCTTTTTATGTTGCAAAAGCCAAAAGCCAATTGTGTGGTGAAAAAGCTCAGAACGGTTTTTTTTGCACCAAAAAAAACCCATTTGAAAAAGTAGAAAAGAACTCCTTTTAGCTTTCACCTTTGCAAGAAGTTATTTTGAACAAAAAAGGTGGTGACCAGACAAACACTAAAAAAGCGCTTTTTTAAAAAACCCATTTCAAAAACAGCTTTTTCAGAAGCTCACTTAGGCCAAAAAAGCACTCACAAACATGGCCTTGATATAGGATATTGTGCTTAAAGTCTCAAGCAAGGACCTAAAATATGGTGGATGTTGTATCATCTAAATGCATTAAAAGTACTATTAACATTGGATTATCTGGTGTATATTTTACCGCCTCAATCAATTATCTAAAGAGAGTAAACCGTTATACCCTAGAGGTCTCTCTGATGGCAATAATTTACAAGTGTTGATTGCTGATATACATGTGTCTAGTGGAAACTACATTACATTTCTCACTCTGTTAAGTTGAATGCTATTTCCTGATTATTAGATATTAATCTGTTCAAAACACGATTTGGGCCGACTAAGACTGTACAACAGTCTCAACTCAGCCAAATCGACTGATATATCTGAGCCACCGCCATGCTTATATTAAGTTATCTTAAACAAGCTAATTGTTGATAGTGATCTATGGAGGTTGGAACAATTAAATGAAATAAGAGAGACAACCAACAGTAGAACAGTGCAGATTAGATTGATTTCAGAGCAGATGATTTAACTAAAATCACAAGGGGAAGGGGGAGTTTTTTTCCGGTTACAGCTTTCTTCCTAATTATATTTATGTAAATGATGGATGATTTGTTGATATTTTGAGCATCTTTGTACATCCCCTCGTGTAAATCCCTCTTTTTTGTGAATTAATACAATATTTAGTATCTTATCAGAAAAATAAAAGGTCACTTGCATTGGCACCATCTGATAATAAAAATACTTGGTTCAGTTTCCCACCTAATTCAGCAAGATTATCAATCCTTAGACCTGCTAGATAGGTCTCTTCCTCCTTCCTACTATGGTCCTCTTTGTTATGCATGCACACATTCAAAGAGATGCAATATGCAGAGCATATATCTCAACCTACCCAAAAAGAAAGAAACTATCCATGATGTTCTTCAAAATACCATTTCAATTCCTACTAGACAAGCTGCACCATGGTTTCTCTTCACCATCTTAATTTGTGCAGAAAATATCATGAAAGATCTAGTTTCTTTCAATCAACTGCAATTTCTGATTTTTAAATATACTCAATGGCTTCACAAGTAGCTATAGATGAAACATCATTTGTTGTAGAATGGAAAAGGGAAAGTATGTATCTTTCTTCCTTAACAACAATCTTAAAATGTGTACACAAACAAACATGCTTCAAAATTTTCAATTAACAAATAGCAAAGTTGAATATGGCATGACAATTTTGAAGTTGTTTTGGTAGACTATATCATTACCTCCATACATTAGACACTGACAGGTACAGACAAAAAAACCACATAATACCAAACAAAAACTATTAGAATGGTTAATTTTCTTTTATTTCATTTTTTTATAGATAATTTTCTTTTATTTCATTTTTTTTCCACAAGATTGACTCAAGTAGACAAATCAGTTGGAGCATTGGAGGACAACCATCAGAACTTAACCTCTGACAATCAAACACAAATAAGGCTTTTAGGCAATTTGCTCCTACATACAAAATTACAAATCTTATTTGTTTTAACAAAATAAAAAGTTCTTTTCCTGAAAGATGAATTTTGTGTCGAAAGTATGAAAGAAGAATATATAGAAACTAAACATAATCTACTATCCTATATCATATCTTATCAGATTCAGAGCAATTAGTGAAAGATCTACACGGTAATGCTGCAGAAATGCAACATACCATTACAAGTCATATGTGTTAGAACAAGAGCTATTGGGAATTTGGGATATTTTTCTATTTCATCACTCTTCAATATAATCAAATTTAGCTGCCATTGTACTTTCATATTCTACTGGCTGATGACATTAACAGGAAAACTGCCATCAGCCACCAAAACCGGGATACCATGTTGATGGTTTTCAAGAAGCAGGTTCTATGACTGTTTAACTTACAAATTTACACAGGTGAAAAGCCATCCTTATCTATCCACAAGTATGCTGCAACTATGGAAAATAGATAATCATAGTGACACTAGGAAAAGAGAACCCCAGAACATGAAGCAACCAAGATTAAATTGTTGCTTCACTGGACCAGTTTATTGAAAATGATTATGACATACTTCAGTTGAAAGGAAAAATAAAAACTAACAATTTAAAAAAAAAAAAACAGTGAAGAAAATAAACAATCGCTAATAGTTTCTGAGTACTTACATTTAAAGAACTGAAGGATCAATTGACAAGCATCTGAAGGAGAAATGATTTTATTCTCAAGCTTCGACTGCATTTCCACAGCCATACTCTCCAGCTCCTTGCCCTTGACATCCTCACTTCCTCTGAAGATCTTCCTGACACAGTCGAGCTCCTTTATCAAGGTTTCTAGTCCCCAATCCTTCGCACAACACATAAAGACATCCTTAATGAATCCAAACATCTCGGAAGCATGCTCACATGCAACACAATGAAACTGCATCTCTGTGGTTCCCTTTGGTCCCTTCAAGCTGGGGCCAGGTTTAATGAGATTCCTCTGGAGACCACAGACGGCATGGCACCAGTGGGAGCAGACATCACAGCCAACCCAGCTGCAAGTGTTGTTCGCACAATCAAAATTCAAACATACAGGGCACATGCAAGCACTACAAAATCCCTTTTTCGTCGAACATATCTTGCAGTCACAGTCATCTATGGGCAGCAAACTTTTGCAGTTTGGATTCCGACACCTCATAAAGAAGAAGATCTCGACCAGCTCAACTGTGGGCAGACGATTCTTCCCCGATAAGTAGTTTATGAGACCTGTTTTTACTGTAACCAAGATGTCCAATTGGGCCTTGTTTGACTTTGAGAGCGTGTCAAAAGTAAGGTCGGATCTCTTCTCAAGCTGTTTCTGCAAGATGGATAACTCGTCTCTCTTCTCAGGCATCTCAATCAGACCCTTCAGGCACTCCTTCGTCGATTCAATTGTCTCATCAGGAAGCTCATTTAGTATTTGGGCCATTACAGGGATAGACTCAGAAACAATTTCTCTCAGAATCCTCTCGGGGTTTGTCAATTTACGTGTTCTCCCTCCATCTGAATTCTCCAAACCTCTTTGTTGCTCAGAAGCTCTTCCTCTAGAGTCGGCCGATTCAGTATCCTTCCTTGGTCTCGCTGGCAGTTCGGACGGGAAGAATGAAAGGTTCTCCGAGCTGGTAGTTCTGTGAAGACTACTGCATGAATCTTTATTGATTTGGCGGGTACCTTGCATCAAGGGGTAGCTGAAACCAGCACCATGGTTCGACAGACCAACTCCATCACCGACCGGCCTGAACCGACTGTGAACTGACCCATTAGTCCCCTCCCCGCAATTCCAGAACTGATCAGTCTCTCTTCGGTGGCTTCCCATCGAGTATTCATAATTCTCGGTTGAGTTCCTAGTGAGTGAGCAGCTGGGGTTGTGAGAGAACGGGAGGGAGTACGAGTAGGAACGAGATGCCACCGTGTAGTCATCGGAGCACGACGGCGCCAATGACTGGGTACTCCTCACGGACTTCAGGTGAACAGGAAGATCAGCTTTTGGAGCTGGATTTGAAGTGTTGAGAGAGAGCGAGACATCCGGCAAAGCTAGAGAGAGATTAAGGGTCTCAATCTTTGCCTTCTTTTCCCTCTTGTCTCTGTCGCTTTCTTCTTCCTCGATCTCTCGCTTCGACCTCCCTCCCCTAGTCCCATTCAACTGCAGAAAATCCCTCTCTACCCATTTCTCCTCTTCATTCTGATTCCCCGGAACAACTTCCTTTCCCTTGTGTCTCTCTTTCTCCAAAGAACTCCAAAAATTCTTCCCAGAAATCTCTTTCTCTTGAAAACCCATCTTAGAATTGTCACAGAGATAGCTAAGAGTCAGCTCTTGAGAACCCGGATTTCCATTTCTCGACGGTTTAAATGGAAATCCACTTCGACCCATCTCCGAATCTCGAAGAAAACCAGCGCCCTTTTCAGAAAACCCGATTTTCCCATCTGGGTTCTCGAGGTTTTGCACGAAAACCTGGTGTTTCAGTTTGCTCAGAGGGTTCTCTGTTCGGTGAAGAAACCCATTGGAGAGATCGGTCTCGGTAAACATGGTCAGAAAGACAAAACAGACACAGTCAAAGAGAGAAGTACGGTACCCAACCCAAAAGGTAGCAGAAGTTTTGAAGGTCGGAGGATTTGCGGGGGAGTTCGAAGAAAATTCTCTTCCTCTTCGTCTCTCCTCCCCTCCTGCTTCAACTCCTCGTTCTCGTTCTCTTCTTCGATTTTTACGACGCCATTGGTTCTGTAACGGCTGTTTCAGGCGCACGAAGAAACAAGGATGCTTCGATGCTTCCTTACTCGGTTTACAACAATGGTCTTTACTTCCCTAAGAATTACAGAAATAGCCTTAGACTCGCAATTTCAATTTGACAGACTGTTTTATCAACGAAATGACGAGAAACTCCCTTTGTTTTGGAGCTATTCCTTTCATATCCTTACCTTGTGGACAAAGACAGACAAAGAGAACATGGATGATGAGTCAAAACATTAGAATTGGGATTGATACTGCACCCACTTCACCTTATCTTAAATCAAATTGTCAACTTGTAATAAAAGCTATGGCACCATAAGAGAATGAGAATATTACACGTCGCAGATGAGGTGGCATACACAAATATGTCCTCCCACCTGCCACATCAACATTTCCCCTTTACAGGAGTATCTTTTATTTAGGGTCTGTTTGATTCATAATCAGAAAATCGAAATAAAAAATCTCTGATAATTAAGATTAGAATGGTCTAATCCTCCTCTTGATTGGTTCAAATAAGAATCAGAATTGGAATTAAAATCAACTAGAAATAGAGACCGGATTTGCTCCTCACAGAGTGCACTTCACACTGACCTCACAACATGTTTTGGTTATACATGGGGAGAAGTTTTCAATACACGGTGGGATGTGGTTATGAGATGCACTCTATGAGGAGATTATAGAGCAGATCCCAATTCCTAGAAATAGGGTTTTTATTCTCGAGGAGCGGGAGGGAATGACTATTCTCTCAAATAGAGAATAGTCTTGTATAGCCTTGTATTGGGAATGCCTTCTTACTTATATGCTTTTTTTCATGGGAAGATATTTTCAATGCAAAGCTGTAAAAAGCTGTGTGAGCGGTGTGAGCACTAAAGCCGATTTTTTCAAATGGGGGAGTTGGGATCACTTGCCAACAAAACCATAGTTTTTAAAACCAACCCGGTGACCAAACCGGTCAGGGGTCTGGTTACCGGTTCGAATGGTCCGATTGTTCAACTCGAACGGCCAGCCCATTCTGAAAAAAATAAAAAATATTAAAAATTTTGAAAAATGGTCAAAACCATTCGAACTGTTAACTGGCCGGCTCAGCGGTTTGCTGACCAAAATCAATGATTTTGAGAAAAAACAGAACCAATCAGATGACTAATTCCCAATTTTTCCAGTCCAACCATCCGGTCTAGTCCGATTTTGAAAACCATGAACAAAACACATTCTAACACCCTCCCAACATGATCTGACAGAACACGTCTTACCATGAAATTGGAACCTGCCATGTATTAGATGTGCGGTGCCAGATTAGGTTGGGAGGGTGCTGGAATGCATTTTATTGATAGATAATACCGACTCTAAATGGAGGGTGCTATTGAATTCCAATTCTGTCCAACCGAATGGATGGAATTGGATTCGCCCATTTTGATTCGGATTCTAAACTCATGTTCCTGCAAACCAAACCAAATGAACTTTTGGTTTTCTAAAAAACAATGCAAACTATAGTGCAATGTGGGTTCATTGTCATTTCTCCAGAAGTGGATTCTTTGTGTGATAGGTAAGGAAAAGCTTTGGTTATTTTGATCCAAATGGGTAGAAATGTCAATGGATCAGTTAAATGGTAAACCCGGCTTCACGTTGGGTTAGGGCCAGGTTTGTTTGAATAGGTTAGTGTTTTGATAATTTGATCCTTCAACGCGTGATAGGTTCGGATTTTAATTCTCTTCTTTCACTAGAAAATGGAAGAGGTGATACCTTAAAATCTATATATAAACCAAATTTCAATTTATATTGATGACTCTCGCAATTTTAATGTGTTATAAAAAATTACAATTGAAAGAGTTGGAATTCATATTATTGGATTGAACCCTTAAGAGTTGGGCGGGTTCATAAACTACATGTTATATAAGTCAGTTTGTATAATTCGGTTGGAAGCATTAGAGAATCGGATTAGCTATGATTAACAATAGCAACTCCGTATCAAACCCGATCCTTTGACATTTCAGAAAGGGTAGCGGGATGTTGTACTGAATAATAAAGATTGAAAGTGACTCTAAAAGGGCTGATTTGGGCACACTCATTTCTGATAAATCTCCTAATAATAATAAAAAGTATGATGCGGTTGTAAGTAGACTGTCTCTCTTAAAATCTTCTAACAAGAGTCACGGAAATATCTAAAATATCCCCATATAGTTATTATTGGAAAGGTATGGGCTAATGGTTCAACTGAAGAGAAAATTTGAAAAATAATCATTTTCATGCCTCTTTTTAGAAGATTCTAATAAATGGAATTTACTAGCAATTACCAAAATTTAGAAGAGGTTTTAACAACAACCAAATACTTAAAAAAGTTTCAACAATTTGCCCTAATAAAAATCAAAAGAGTCACTCTTGACTATTAGATTATTGAAAAGGGTCGCAGCAGAGAAAAAGGAAAATGGTGAGTACCTTCGCCCAATAAACATGGTAGGAGCCAATGAAACATATAATAATTTCTTAGAAATGAGATGTGCCTAACTGCCCATGTCACATCCTTGGCATTATAAATGTGAACAATGTTACGTAAACAAAATGGAGAAGAAATAGGATTGATTTTTTCTGATAAATATATGTAGATTGATTGATTGGAGCAACATTTATGGATTACAAGTCGGTCCAGTTTAGGTTGGAAGTGGTCAACCGTAACCCAACATGGAGGTTAGGGTTGGGTTCAGGTTGCTCCCATATTTCTTCATCTCTTTTTTGCTAAAATCTTTTTATTTCTTAAACTTAAGATGGAAGATTTAAGGTTAATTCATTTTAGTATTATTACTAGTTGACGGGCTTTGTCAAGTATATTTAAGGTAAAAGGAGTCTTATGTCCATTACATTTAATTAGGTTTTGGCCCCTGTAGAAAAAAATTTGGCTCCTCCCCTATTAAGGATCATTTAGCTTAACTCTTTCCATGAAAAATTGTTCACATATTTTGTTTTATTACCATTTAGTCCATTATTTTGTAAAATATAGTTGATTTTGACCAAGATGGTCAACCATTGTTGACTAAGATGGTCAGACCTTTCGGACCAAAAACCATCGTGGCAATTCCATTTCACCCTGAACCCGTATCTTGTTAAAAAAATGTTGATTTGGTCAGACCCGTTGACTTGTTGAGACAGTTTGCCCAAAACCTTAACCCTAAATCAATCCAAAATTAAGGCTGTATTTGGTATTCCTTATTTTAAGGACTTGTCTCCTTTTTGTAGTTAAAATACCTTTATGAATACTGAATTTTTAATTGCAAACAGGAGATTAGTCCTTAAAATAAGGAATGCCAAATGCAACCTAAGTGAAATTCGTATTTTTTCAATCCTAACCCCAACTTGAACTTCAACCCCATCCAACCCAACTCAACTTTTTCATGTTGAATTTGGTCTAACCCAGCCCAAATTGCAACTCTACAACATCAGTAGTTTCTCTCAACAACTCAAGTGCTTACATTATATATGCAAGATAAGAAGGAAAGATTCCTTACTGTTTGGAAACAGTTTAAAACTGTAGTATTTCTATTTGGGCACATCCCATGCTACGACTTTTATGCTTATAAGCAGTGGCTCTTTTTTGTACTTTTGCTAGGAACAAGCCATTTTTATCAACAAAGCATCATTGACAGTCAAAACGAAGAGGATGAATAGGGCTCCAAGAAGAACAAAAAATCATCATAATCCTTCACAAGTCTGGACAAAACAAAACCTTGACAGTCTTTCCACCCCTTATACTTGTTGGTCTTTTAGGTTGTTCAAACAAAGCTTAAATAACGAAGTCCAATATTATATTTTTTGTTAGGGGTATGGATAATGAAGTCATCTGCCTAGCTGTTTGTCCAATAAATCGTATCTCTTATATAGTGCTCTTTTGGGAGGGCTATAGGGAATCAGCTAAAGACTTCAAGGTGGATCGATCTCACACGAACAGCTTCTAACTTATGTTTGGTCAAAAAAAAAAAATCCAGAAAGTTTAATTTAAGTATCGGTCAGTCATTTGAAGAACTATCCAATTTATCCATAATGCTTTAAAGCGAGGTTTATAGTATCAATACACCTGATATATATATATATATATATATATATATATATATATATATTCATTTATTTTAATTTTCAAACCTCAAAATACCCTTTATTTAATATTTTGATGAGCCTAAGATATGATGCAATATGCCAAATGCCGGGTGTATTGATATTTTAAACCTTACTGCAAAACAACTGAATTACCTTAACTAAATATTCAATTTAGCTCTTCCAAAGGAGCCTATACTTATTCAACACGGAAGCTGTCTCCCAAGGAATTTCTTATTAGGGTCCAACTTGTATTTTGGAAAGAACCAGTGTGAAACCCTACTTCTTGACATAGATGACAATTCAAATGTGTTCACACAAAACCTTTCTCCATGTGACAAAATAAAAGCATTTTCCTTGATATCTCTTTTTTATTTTAAAAATTAAAGGGAAAAAGGCTGCAAATTCAAAAAATTTGAATGATGTAAGTAGATGAACAGAAAATTAGAGTGGAATTCATGCAAGTGGAAGAAAATTCTAGAAGAAAAACGTAGGAGGTGGGAAATTTGTGCATTTATGACTTCATTCATTGTGGGCTTGAGCATTACATTGTCTCCAGGAACTATCATGCTATTCTTCATTTATCCCTCAGCTGAAATGGTTGAAGCGAATGACTTATTGTTTATTTTGTCTTTTAGTGAATAAAAATAATTAAACAATAAAATCCGTCATGGTATAATAATAATTCACTAATTGAGATTTGAGACTATTCATAATTCAGTCGGGAACTGTTTAGGCCATGGTTTTAAAATCGGATCGGACCGGATGGTCGGACCGAAAAAATTGGGAACTGGTCACCTTAATGATTTTGGTCAGTAAATTGTTGAACCGGCTGATTAATCGTTCTAATGGTTTTGACCATTTTTCAATTTTTTAAAATTTTTTATTTTTTTGTCAGAATGGGCCGATCGTTTAAACTGGTAACCGGACCCCTGACTGGTTCGATCACTGGATCGGTTTT